TTCTACAGTGTCCTAATGCTGTTAACTGTGTTTTCTACAGTAATGTTTCTAAACACGATGCTTAGAACACTGCCTGCTAAATAAGCTAATAAAAAGGAATAAACTGCAACGTATTCCAGTAGTACAGATTATATACTGACATTCAACGAACTCGTTGCGTTCCGTTTCATAATCAGGTTAGCGATAGCAGTATTATTGGTAGCGTTTGCCTTCGATCCCGTTGTAATTACGGAAATAAATAAGTTCAGCTTATAAGTTTCCGTCATTTAATTCAACGGGAGTGTAGGGAAATTCGTCTGATGCCGTCGCAAACACGCCACAATTAACCGTCAAACCAACTATACCAGGTAAACTGAGGGCATCGGCCGCGTTTACATTACGAGTGTCCATCGCTCGAATTGTAAATCAATAGGTGTAATGCAGTTATAAATGCCACTATCGATGTCGCGTGCGCGAACAAAGCCTGATATCAATATACACGTCATGATTATTTACACTGCCCTAGAACTTTGGTTTCACGGAACGCCGGTTCTCCTAACCACGGTCAAAAACTACGCAAGCGCAAGGCGGTTGTTGCATCTATCCGTTCAATGGAATAATACAAACCACCTCAACATTTTATCTATACATTCATACAATCTTACCGTCGCAAGGCGTAATTCCGTGGGTTATTATGGAAAAATCAACGCGTGGTCGGTTAAAGTCCAGCTTGGTCTTGGAAATGAATCTTGTTTTCCATAGTATTTACGCTGAATTTTAATTGTCCCTAGAATTGCCAGGTTTGAAAACTCTCTTTGTCGTTTTAAGTACTGTACCCTAACCCTGCACTTGAAGGAAATTTGTACGCTATGAGCGACACGGTGCTGTATAGCCGGATAAATGGGCTCGTACAGGTGCGTTTTGCTGCACTGTACAAATTTCCTTCAAGTGCAGGGTTAGGATACAGTATAGGAAAGCCTGAATCTCCATGGATTAGAATACGAGGTCATCCAGAAATTTCGTAAGGACCATAGCAAGAAGTGAGAGGCAAAAAAATTTACGGCACCTTACATTTAACATACTTAGAATGTCAACCACCGTGGGGAACGGGTGAGATTTTTATCTTAAGTTATCTTCCTGAGATTTCGGGACGATTCCAGACAAAGTATTGTTTTACTGAAGTGCTTAGTGCTTACAGTACTTGAGAAGCCTGACAACAACATTGCGAAGAAGTCTGTAATTTAAGTACGAGGCAAGCGGCAACTCTTTCCCATCGCTTTAGTAAATTACTCTTTCTATTTTACCCGTATGCAGGCTCACGTGATACTTGATTTCAACCGTTTCACGTCTAAACCGGTTTGCAGCTATCGTTGATTGCGCAACTGATAACGAGTACAGAGAAGAGCACGGCAGGTGAGATTTTATCGCCGGCTCAGTAAGCTAACCGGTTTAGACGTGAAACGGCTGAAATCAAGTATCACGTGAGCGCCTGCATACGGGTCAAATGCAGCAGGGAAAGTGAGGTAATTTACTAAAGCGATGGGAAAGAGTTGCCGCTTGCCTCGTACTGTAAGTATGACATTTAAAGTAAGGAAAACAGTAACCATGGATCTGGGACAATATGCATTAATGTAGTTTGTACTGTACGTCGAGCGTACGCTATTTGATTTTTGCGATAGCATAATACTTAGTGAGTGAGCGACTGCCCCGTGAGCAAAATCTGTAGGTGAGTGAGTGGCTCGTGGTAGCTCGGTCCGAGCTACCACGATTGTCCAGTGAAGAAAATCTGTAGGTGAGTGAGTGGCCGAGATACCATGACTCATGAGCAAAAATCTCTATAGACGAGTGAGTGGACTAGCAACCACAACTGTCTCGGCTACCAACACTGTCCCGTGAGCAAAATCTGTAGGTGAGTAAGTGACCAAGCTACCACCACAGTCCGGTACACGACTACTGTCGTTAACACTACTGTCGTATCTCGTAACACGTCCATAAATTCAAGCCTGACCTTTCCAATACACATTTGCCGAGCTCGGAGCGCGAGGCTTACCTTGTACTCGTATATCTGTAGTGACTTGACGATGTCGATTTCTCGCACTTGCACGTACAACAGGTGCCACGCTCCATCTGCTTAATGTAGGGAGTTTATGACGCATTAGATTTAGCGCTACTACATATTTCGGTAAAGGCGGAAGTAATATTATTAAGTTAACAATGTGCTTTGCAGAAAGGCTTCCGTTCCAGTTACAGCACAAGTAAACTGCACCTCGGAATACAACTGGGGTATCTACCGGCTGGCCCACAAAAATGGCGGTCTCCGTTTTTGTTTTGCTGTGCGCGAACCACCTGTCGTAAAACAAAGTTTTACATTTGATCGATTACAAATTTTATTAGATACTTAAGGCAAAAAAAAAGCGAAAAGTTGCGACACGCTCGTGGTTGACTAGCGCGAAAAACTGTACCATCTGCAGTTGTGCGGAAATGTATTGCGACCTAGCTTTTGAACTCCAGAATTTTGTGTCATATACTATCCATACGCACTATTTCAATTTTTACAACTGTTTCATGTAGAGAAGAACATTCTCTATCGAAAAAAAGCGATTTCCACAGTGTACGCAATGGCCAATGGCGGAGCAATGTACTCGATTCACTTTTTGAAAAAATGCCGCTTTTTTGTTCAATTTTTGAGCAGTTTTATTAAAATTTTTTGCTGCATGACAGGCTGCAACCAAATCTGTCGATTTGGCTGTTATATATAGCTAAGGTATCCTTTTACATATCCTTTACAACTCACTCGGTATAAAGATCTAAAAATTGCATCTCACAAAAATAAATTTCAGTACTATGTCGTATAATTATATTATTATGTCGTATATATTGTCAGGCTTTGTTCGCGCACGCAACGTCGACGGTAGCATTTAACTGCATTACGCGGTCCTTAATTTCAAATTCGAGCGACTGGCACTACTGGCACGCGACTTTGAGCGACTGGCACGCGACGTAATGTAAATTGTAAAGCGATGGTAAACGCGGCCGATGGCCATCAGTTACCTGATACAAGGGTGACGTTTGACGGTTATCTGCGGCGTGTCTGCGTCGGCATCCGACGAGCTTCCCTTTGTTAGTGCAGCGCTCGCAGCGGAACGGTCAGCTTAGTCGTTTCCTCCATTTCCAAAGGATTACCGGCAGACGCTACCAATAGTAATTCTATCACTAACATATTTATGAAACTTTATAATCATGTTAGCGATAGCAGTGCCATTGGTATCGTTTCTAGTAAGTATATTATAAATCAGTATAACTTTGGTATCGCGAAAACCTAATCACTCTAACCGCGGTCAACACGCGAGCGCAAGGCAATTGTTACATCTACCCGTTCAGTGTAATAAGACAAACCAAGTCAGCATTTTATACTCGTATACAGTAATTTCTCGCACTTGGATAACAAGTGCCATGCTCCAGCTGCTTGCCATGTGAAGTTCATGACACAGTAGCGCTACTACTTTGGTAATAGGCGGAAGTAACATTAAAGTACACGTTAACAATGTGCAATGTAAAAATGACTTCCATTCCAAGAATAGCATAAGCAAAGTTGTTCCAGCTTTGCAATCAAGAAGGAAGTGTTTCTGTTATAAATTGATCTTTTCTAGTACGTACTAAGTTTGTACTTGTAGAGTGGCGCGAACATGTGCGCGTCGTCAGCTGATAGTTTTTTCATTGTGCTTTGTGCGAGCATTGACAATTATTAATGAGAATATTAAATTTTAGCTCCTGCCTCGGTAAAAATATTCGGTAAACGTGTGATCAAAGAAGGATTCTGTGCGCAACATTTGGGTAGAGAGCGATCGTTTAACGGAATTGACCCCGGTATATACGGTACCAAATTCGTAGACATGATCCATTTTCGCGCACTCCCCAGCATGTTTTTACATTTTTTAATGACGACATGTAGTCAGATGATTTTGTACTACAGCGGCGAGGATTAGGAAACCATTTGTGCACGTAACATCCGGTTGATGAGTTGCTGCTGTAAGAGAATCAGAAAAAGTTTTAATGTATTCAGGGTATACGGTACCCACAGTCTCAATATGAACCGTTCTTCTTCAAATTTTGCATGAAAACTCATATTATGAACAGGAAGACCATTCTTACACCGAAGCAGAGTCCCAATAACCTTTCCAACTTTTAAAAAGCATGTTTAAAACTTGAAAAACGGTCTAGACAGTGGATCGTGTAAGACAACCTTCACGATTATGTGCCCTTTCATGCCAAATTCCACTGACCAGCTACGTTCTATAAAGAGTTTTCCCGGCATCGCTTGTCCATAAGACTCAAAGAGGGATGCAGTTTGTTATCGGCCATCTGTTGGAAACGGAAAGCACAGAGCACAGCAGAAGTGTTTCTGTTATAACCTGTGCTGTTCTTTTTTACTTTTAGTCTCTCTCTGTCTTCACGAGTAGCGGAAGTACAGAGTACGTGCGCTTACTCGCTTACCGCTGATTATACCGTATACCGGTCTACAGATTTGTACTTCGACTTTTCTCAAAACGTTCGTCATGTATTCGGCGCAAACTTTTCAACAGCCGCCGGTTTTACCCGTGCATAAATGCAGCGGAGCAGTTGACCTTTCTTATTTGGCTGAACGATCTTTAGGATCACCAGGCCTTCAGAATAAAGTCAATCCCCAGAATACCTAACGAATGCACAGGAATTTTAAGCATACATAGAAGAAATAGGTGGCATTCTTAGAATAGTACGAAATCGGCCATACTCCATACTTAAAAAAAACAGTTTTGCGGTTTGGAGCTTAACTTGTGGCATTTGCACCGTGTGGCAGTGTGCAGTACATACGTCTGCTTTCAGCAATTCTGTTGCGATATACAGTACGTTGCTCACAAGTCACAACATTAGTTCCCAAGATACGAGTAGCATTACGTTCTTAATCACAAGCATTTTCTGTTTGTGATGAGATCACGTAGAAACCACTTTTCCCAAACGCTGTCTTTTGCCCGATAGGGAAACTCTCCCGCAGGATACTCAAAAACTAAAAAAGTGAAAAAAAGCAGAAAAGGACCAAAAGTCACAGAGTAAGCGGCAATGAAATTGCGTTACAGTATGTTACAAGCGTACGAGTATCTGTACAGGTAGAAGTGTTATACTTCTAACTGTAAATATGTTTATATACTCGTAGATATATTGATTTTAGAGTCAGGCATACTACAAAAATAAACTAAGCAATTGTGTTGTTGCCGGCTTATTGGAGGGTATGATTAGTGCAGCTGCAAATCGGAGGTGGGATTTTGTTGTCATCCAGCCCCGACATTAACAGCACATAGCCCGCAATCGTGGTGAGTACCTGAAACACAGTAACTAACCTTCAGTGAGTAAACTGCGTGCATTAAGGTGATAGTTGAGTCGTATGTGTATGCTACAGTCCATTTCCTAATTTTTGGTTCAGAGGTGAAAACAAGTGCTTACCGCCAGGATAGCCACGCGATCGACAGGTATACCGGCCAGGGTGAGCTTCTCCCTTAGATGTTTGTAACGCTTACATGGAGTTCCAGTTGACAGTTAGGTCGGCCAGCTTCCTTGCAGTCTAAACTGACTTCACGAATGTTCCGCAACACATCATCTTCCTGCAGAAACACATCATGCACTGCAGAAACTAAAAAATTGCAAACCAGCCAGTCTGTCCACGGTTCAGACATTTGGTGATAAAACCAGCGCACAGTGTACAAAGCGAGCTCCGTGGGCAGAAAACCAATGGTACGTTGTGAATTTAAACAGAGGAGCGCTTTTTGGCGCAATATCGCTCAAGCAAAGCGTTTTTTTAATCTCGCATTTAATACGAGTGTAATGTACATTTGCGTATACCGGTAACTGGCGACATGACGATAGATACAGCGTACCGCTTCTACGGCAAATAGAATCCCAATGAACTGCGTGCTGAGGATGATGAACACGCAGTTTATGGCCAGAACATCATAATCATCGGGTGAAATGTTGAGCACCCCGGATTTTAGAACGGAGTTGACATAGATAATAATATCGAAGAAAATATCCACGAAAGCCGCAGCCGATGTATAAGTAAAGCAGGAATTAAACTGCCCGACGAGCGCCGTCATGTCCCGATGGACCGGGAGATACTCCACAACTTCCTCAACGGTTCGGCTTTGCGCAAGGGATCGCGCCAAACCACGGAAGCCGATAGCGAAAAGTAATGTGTAGATGGTGATGTAGCACTGTACAACGCCAAACCCCATGCGTTGCAGATCGATCGCCACCGCTCGCACGTAGAACGCCGCATGCCAGGAAGACGAGCCGGAGAGGTTGAAAAACCGCTCAGCGAAGGTATCCAGCGGTGCGGACGCGGATGCTGGAAATGCACAATCAGCTATGGATGGTGGTGATGCATCTGTGCGGGTATTACTGCTATCCTCTGCCGTTCGTACCGTCCCTGTTCCGGCGACCCTACCATCTAGTCTTTGCCGTAATGTGCATGATCTTTGGAATTCAGTGGTTGTGTACGTTTTCCCAGTATCCCCTGTTTAATCTTACCGGCATCACTGGCACCTCCACTAAACTGCTCGTGACCCCGAAATATCTGTTTCCCTTTGCACAGGCACTGGCTGCTATCCAGATCTGGCGATTCCGCCGTGAGCTGGACATCATGGGACGAAAGCTGACCACTATTCTAGCCAGGCTGATAACCGCCGGCAACATGTGCTTCCTGGTTTCCTTAAATATCGTTATTTTTATCTTCACACCCCCGTTTCAGTCATGATTGTCGCCACGCATGCCCGGGAGTACAGCGTGTGCACTTTCGCTGCGCGTGCCGGTGTAGCCATTGGGTTGGAATGTGGGATGAGCTAATCCATACAGAAATGCCTAATTAATTAATTTGGTTGATGGTCAAATAGCATTATTTATATCGCAAGGAAGAAGTACAGAGGAGTTCCAACAAGCAGATAAAAAATCTAAACGTGCCTCACATAGGTATGCGTGCGTCTGTAGCAGGCGTCACAGACACATGCATCTCACTTTTCCAAGCTTCATCAATGATCTAATTATTTTCTGAATATTTTTTAAGAAAATCGAGACACATTCATTCTCTTAGTATGACAAGACAGCACATTAGAAGAGAGGTCAACACTCTTAAAACATTTACATAACCATAAAACCCTACATTAGCGAGTAAAGCTCTCTAACGTCGAAGAACTGACATCATAAAGTTGACCTTTAAACACTCATGCATGAATTCACCGAGTACCTTCAGTCACGCCCCGCAGACGTTCACGTCAGCAGCAAAACAGGTACCCAAATGACTGGCAGTATCTACTGGTTGCGGCTAGTCAACCTGTGTCGAATGATAGCACAATACTTCGGTGATCTTTTCTGTGGTGCTCCAGTATGGAAGAAAGAATGATAAAGGCGGTAGTAGATTCGAAGACAATGATGTTGTTGTTACGTTGTAGCTGTTAAATGACACTGTTTTGTTTGGTTGTGCAGTAGTAGTAGCAGCAGGAGTAATGGTGTCTGGCGAACGGTCGGCCACATTTTAAGGGTTATTTTCTCTTTCGATTGATCGCGCGCGGTATGCGAATCAGCTTGCACATTCTCATCTACTGTAGTTCACGAAATGTTTACAGGAAAAAGCGTTTTCCCTTACGCTTTATGTACCGTGTTACCAGCTGGCAAATTATAGCACCGTGATGTCACAGCTGTCAAAGCTACTAATCCCCGATGTCTCAGTAAATGAAAATTTCTGGATTTTTCGCTACATTACTGTCAAACACGTCTCATGCCTGTTAAGTACTCTGTACTTGTATAGCCGATATTTTCAGGAAATACCCTTAACTCGCCTGTTCGCCAATTGCTGATGTAATTGTCTTTGTTGCTTGGTACTCTTTTTTATGCAAACAGACTATTCCCTCTTGGCGATCTGCCAGACATGTTAGCGCGGGATCGCAACTGGTGTGTAAGTCCCGAACAAACAGATATGCAAATAAAACAGTGCACTTTCGTTTCTGTGGTAAAGCGACTGTTAACTCAGGCAGCTATTCTTTATCGAAATATTTCCTACATCTGCAGTACTCCACATGATACAGGAAAAATGGATTTATTCAGGCAATAGCCAGTTAACATGGCAATAAGCCAGCGCTGATAGACACTAAAAAAGATTTCACGTTAAAGAAAAAACAGGAAAAGTTACTAACAATGTTACACGTTTGTGGTCCCTTTCGAGAGAAAAAATGAAAATTTATTCATGTGAAATCTGCAGCTCGGAACTTCGGGTGCATAGTGGTTAGTTAATTTGGCCGTAATTTCTAACGCATTAACACAGCGACAGGCACAAATGCACGGGTTTCGTCAAAATCCATACTTTTAGCATTTTTTTCCGATTTGAATGAATCTGATAAAGCGGGCGTTTATTACGGGGGGAGGGGGCGTATAATATTTAAAAATTCAAATGAATATCGCGCTCTGACACTCCAGGTTTAACGAGAATAATATCATAATCGAGCGGGCGAGCGAAGCGAGCCCGCGTTTTTTTCAATATAAGCACTTTGAGGTTTTAAGACACGGCGACCTTGACCTTCAGGTTCCTCACACCCCGAAACTGCGGTTCTAAGACACGGCGACCCTGACCATTGGGTCGCCGTGTGACCTTTAGTAACCTTTGTGACCTTTAGGTTCCCGACACCCCGAAACTGCGGTTCTAAGACACGGCGACCCTGACCTTTGGGTCGCCGTGTGACCTTTAGTGACCTTTTTGACTTTTAGGTTCCCGACACCCCGAAACTGCGGTTCTAAGACACGGCGACCCTGACCTTTGGGTCGCCGTGTGACCTTTAGTGACCTTTGTGACTTTTAGGTTCCCGACACCACGAAACTGCGGTTCTAAGACACGGCGAACCTGACCTTTGGGTCGCCGTGTGACTCTTTGACCTTTAGGTTCCCGAGGCTTAAAGCTGTTCTTAAGACTGGGCGATCGTAAACGTTGGGTCGGAATCCAAAGTTTTGATCTTTCTTATATTTACGGGATTTAACAACAGTTCAAAAACTTAGCCCCAATCTGAATTTAGAAATAAGATTTTTAAATATTTCGAAAGAATTGTGAATGTTGTAAAATATCTCGACACTATTCTGAACGGTGTAAAAAAATCTAAATCATTTTTGATAACATTTTTGAATACGTTTAAGTATGTTAAAACGTTTTTAGATATTACGATTAAATATTTATAGATATGTCGAAATTTGTTTAAATACGTTTAAATATCTTTATTGTGTCCTCTGATGTTTAGAACAGACTTCATTGTCCTAAACACTTTCAAACATTTTTGAACTTTTAATTTAAATGGTTATATCTCCAAAATCTAACCATTAAATATTTACATACTTTCCCGTTTATGTGTTCAAAGTTTGTCGTGCAGCAATTGCATTATTTCTCAGGTCGCCAATTACGATAGAAAATTGGGCTGGCCAAAGTTTTTAAGTACGTGAAGCAAACGATTTCTCGGTTACTGTGATTTTACTTGTCAAAACAACAACATTTACCAAAGTATTCAACCTCTTGGTCTGAATGTTTGGTTTGATGCTTGGCTTGAAAACGTTGGTATTTCGTTTGTACACTAGAAAACATGGTACCTGGCAGCTTTTTGTATCATTTTAATATGAAGCGTGTATATGGCGATATATTCCAGATAAAGATCAGTATATTGAAACAGGTTTCCTCCGATGATAATTCAGTAAAAATCTTTGCTAAAGTGAACAGGATCTACGTGGAACTGGCCTTTTGCCTCAAGCTTTCGGGTTGCTACTTCAAATCGCGAAGTTAGAAATACTACAGTTTGTGGAGAGCTCCTGGTCTCAGTGCACATGGTACGGAATCTTGTTCGGTGATAACCACGAAGCACTGTTAGTATCCTGGCAACGACTAGGTTATAACAGGGACCCGGAAGCCCAAACGGAAATCATCTTAGTCGACAATTTGTTCTTACAAATTTACGAAATGGGTACTAAATTAATTTTCTGAACTTTCTAATAAATCATAAATTTTTTAAGATCATTTTGCCTGCAATTTCTAAAATACAGCGTGGTAGCGCCAAGTTGAAGACACTTAATTTTTATTTTATTGTAATTTAGCTAATTACAATTTTGTTTCCAAATATGCTCGTACTGATAGCCGTTAGCTTTGATTACACAACGAATACGAGATTTCCACGATCTGAGTGCATTTCGAATTTTAACAATTGAAAAGGTCTTCCACTTGCGGCGCGCGACACGTGCCAGTTGCCTGTGATCGCGCGCGTCGCAGCACTTCAAAATTCGCTTAAAATCGAGTTGACCGCGTAGTCCATCGGCGCAGCATCTGGGAATTCGCCAGCCATTCTTCTTTCGGAATGTACTTCACTTTCTCTGCTTTCAGCCACTGGACAGTTTCTTTGGCCACATGGGAAGGGGCACTGTCCATGTGCAGGACCACTTTCTTGGCGTCCGATCCGTATAGCCGCGGTACGTCTTTTCGGATCATTGGCTTCAGGACGAGGTCGATAAATACCTTGTGATCAACTTTGGTCTCAGGGGGAACGACGTACATTGCGGTTTGACCGCGCCAAGAGATCCCCATCGCGAGCATCACTTTTTTGGGCCAGTTTTTGCGTGGCAGCTTTTGCCAACTTTCAGGAACGACAACATTTTTGCGCTTGTAGTAGAAGTCTGTCTGCCCGGATAAATCATCAGTAGTAATCCACATCTCGTCCATTGTTAAAAGAAATTTCAGTTTTCGTCGCGATAAATACCTCAAAAACGTCTTGGCGCGATGGGCCCGTTGTACAGCTTGGGTCGCCGATAGCGCGTGGACCTTCTTCTTTTTCGTCAACTTCGCTTCCAGATTCTTGACCAAAATTTTTTTCACGGATACATGAGAGATTCGTAAACGTCGGGCGATCTCTCGAATAGACGGGGGATTCGGAGAATCTATTAATTTTTCCACTTTGCGGATGATCTTCGGAATGCATACTGTAGGCTTGTTCTGCGCAGGCAATTTACGCGTCTCCGGTGGGCTTCCACTCAACACCAACTGATGTTTCTTTATAATCCGTTCAACTGTACTCTTACTGAGCGGTCTCCCAAGCTCAGATAATTTTTCCACAATTTTCCGAATAGACAATCCACTGGCATGTAGAGAAACCACTACAGCCTTACTTTCAGAATTAGTTTCTCGAGGCATTTCTCAACATTTCAACGAAAGCTAAATTTTATTGCACTGGAAATGAAATTCGCTGCAACTTTGCAAGTGGCAGTATGACAGCAGACTACAGGGAAATAATCAGATCAGTATTAATTGCGCTGTCTTCAACTTGGCGCTACCACGCTGTACATGAAATATTTTGAATTAAAAAAATTTCAAAATATTTCATATTTTAGTTTCTTCAAAATTCTTTCTGAAATTATACTTTTACGTTTTTAATAATTTATGACAATTTTTTCAAGTAATTTGCTGTGCATTCGAATTAAGTTCCAGTTCAAAATCCGATTTGCATTAAATTTGTTTGTTAGTTATATATCTGCTGATACACAGATAAATTCGAAACCCGCTTCTAAAGTGTTCTCTAAATGTTTCCTGCATGGTTTTATTATACCTGAAATCAAGGTTATATATTGCATAACATCTTGAAAACGTATTCTTGTGAGCTATCGAAGAATGCAGTGGAACACTGATGACAATTAGTGAATTTGTATGTTTATTTTCTTTTGTAACTCAGAAATTCTTACCAGCAAACGAATTAAAATTTGAAAAACGCATAATCATAGCACGAAAACTTCTGGAAGTGTCGAATAAACATCCAGCGTGAAAGCGGCTATCATTTAGCGAACACAATGTCGTCTATCATTTTGGCTTGTATATCGCGAACCGTTTACCGCATTGTTAACTATTCAGGCTCGTTCGATAGAGATTTTTTTTAACTCGCGACATCAACAGAACTTTTCTGAGAAATTTAAACTGTGCTCGTTTGCAACGTCGCCATTTAAAAAAAAAAGTCAAAGGTTTTCGTGTCCCATGTTGCAGAACATATTTACTTCAGGCATTTCTTTCACGCATGGACGTCTTGACTATTTTAAACTGTCTCGTGTGGAAAACCTACTATTTTAACAGTATTGCAGTTGTAGACCTGTTGCTTGCGCTAAGCGAGTTATGCAGTTTGCGCACTGTGTGACTATTCCAAAAATTTCGATTTCTATTGGATTTTTGTGAGTAATTTATTATAATAAAGGAATAAGAGGAGATGTGGCCATCTTGTCTGCGCATCCATCCTAAACGACCCACTGGGGTTATTTTTAAGCTGTGTATTACTCGATAGCCTAATTTGGTAGGCTTTTACAAAATCAGTTTGATTTTAGGAAACGAATAGAAGTACGTTTTGAAGGTAACTCTGGGAAACCTTACTATACAAAGTCTACGGAACCATGCACCAGCCAATCAGGGAAATTTAAAATAACTTCGTAAGCTGTTCGTGGTTAAATAACCGCGTCTTTAGGAGCGGTATGTTTGAGTTTAACGTAGCAGCCCGTCTATGGGGTAGGGGAAATATTAATTTTACTGTTGGACCGGAAGTACTGATGTGCTGTTCACTGCTGTTGCTTGAAACGGCGACTGTACTGTGAGCGTGAGCGATGTTTTACCTCACCCACTTCGCATTCTTATCATTTGTCAACATTCATTGCTTTATTTATTTTTAGTACAAACTAAAGGTTTAGGAAGCACAGTTGAGTATTTCTGAACTATTAACGGAAGGCGGAGCCGCAGGCGACGCCGAGCTGCAACATGACGAGCTCATGAAGCAGCAGAATCAAACAATCAGTTTCTGGATATAAAGAAATCTGAATAAAATAATTCCCAGTGTCCGACGTGGTTAACCTGTTCAGGGTGCGGGTACGGGGTACCTATAATCTAGCTACGTGAAAAAAATTAATTAAATCTGAAAACATGAACTGGATACCACTTAATTTAGTGCTACTTATAATTATTAAAAACTTCTAAGGAGTTTTAAAATAATTGAAGGCACAAAAGTTAGTATACCGCTTACCATAATTTTACGTTCTCTGGTAAGTGACCGCCAGTAGAAAATATGGAAATATATGAAAATATATTCAATATATTATGAAAAACACGGATTGCTGCTTGTTTTGGTAGGCGCGATTCAAATGCCACATAACACAAAGGTTGTTGGATTTTTTGCAAATTTTTCGTTACAGGGAATGGGGTTGGAAGGGTTTGCATACGTGCCAGCTCGATACTATAGAAAACATTAAATGTAGTTGAAACAATCGAAATCAATTTTACAAGCGGTTGGGCTTTGTGGTACGTTTGCGGTATTATGGCTGTAATAATTCGGTCACTTTAGCGTTTTAACACATGGTAATGGTGGTGAAAAATCGGGTGAAAAAACGTCACGCAAACTTGAATTGCGCCGTGGTGTTGCTATGGTACCGGGTAGTACTTAGCTTTTAGTGCAGCGTAGGAAGTTAATAGTATAATGATACTGTATATTTCACATGTAAACATGCATTTGAAGAAAAAGTCATTCATTATGAATTTAAGCGCCACGTTTATTGTAAAAAATAAGCATAAAAATCTTCCAGAACAATAACCTTAAAAACAGTCTTTAAATCACGTAAATAAGGTTAGTTATTTTTACAGTAGTTCGTTCAATTTCTTCCGCGCAGTTTGCGCGTGGTCTGCCAGTTTTGCTTAAAATTTTTGGCTCCTTGATAGGTGTCAACAAAACATGCCAGTTTAACAATTCAATATAGCTTACGCATCGCCCTTGCAAGAAAAAAATCAAATCAGGTTAGCTTCTAAATCGTTCGTCAGGGACTGGCTTTCCACAACCTTACTTGCGGATTTCACGAGCTTCAATTGTGCGAAGTTTCTGTTATTCCGTGCACTGGACAAACACGGTTGAAAAGAATCAATTTTCTAATTTTGGAATGGGTAATTTCAGTTTCCTGCTTCCAGAACATCACCGAATTTATCCAGTTTTTAAAATAATTCATAAGAAATTCGTTCTTAAGGTAATCGTAGTTTGATTCAAGATATGTGTGTTAAAAACACAGATATTTCACACAGAAAATTTGAACATGCTGGTTCATTATGAGACTGTTGATGATGAACCAGTTTGCAAAAAAAACCTATTGAAATTTTATATCACCTACAACTCTTTAACCGGATGTCGAGTTCACAAACGG